GTATATTATTAGTAAGTAATATTAACTCCCTACCTTCATCACAAGCTTGTAATGACCTAATTATATTGGGTGCCAGTTCATGATAAAACAATGGATAGATTAAAACGTAATTTAGAATCAATATAATGATTTCTTACATATATATGTATATATATATTTACATATCCAACAAAAGAAATAATACAAAAATACAATATCGACGTAAGATCAACTTGATCTGATCAAGAATATAATATTAAGTATATATAAATAGTGCGGCCGATATAACACCGAACGCGGTGCATCGCTAAGGAAATACAATTTGAGTACGTGGGCAAGTTATATAAATAGAATTATTTCTCATTCACAATTAATGAAGTTCGATTTATACTTACAATTTAATATTTATACTTTTGATACTGGCTTGTGTCCACGGCTGGGTACTACCGGTAGTGTTTACCTATAGTTCGACAAAATATTTGACAACGGCGAGCTGTGTTACGAAAACTATCATGGCACGCTGTGAGATAAATGATTTTTACAGCGGTCGCAGGCGTTGACCCCAGGTGCGTTACCCTCTACCCTGGCACCCCAACGTCAAAATTTCAACTTGAAAACTGTTTGGTATTATGTTATTTATTATGTAACATTTTTTAACCGCAAAAAAAATTTGTAACCACATCAGTGCCTCAGAAAGCAAAGTTACATGTTCCAAAAAACCACAAAAAAAATTTGTAACCTCACTGGTACCCAGAAAAATTGTGATTAAATTAATTAAAATATACCAACTTATGGAGGAGCTTGTATAAAATTGTCAAGCTTTTTAACCTGCCAACATTTTGAGCGGTTGTCTTGTACATTTAATTAAGTAATGTTACACTGGCACCCGGAACTTGTAATGCCGTTTTCCGGGGCACCGATGTGGTTACAACATTTATTTTTTGCGGTTGCAACATGTTACATAATAAATAACATAATACCAAATAGTTTTCAAGTCGAAATTTAATTATTTAATGTTTGGAGTGCTGGGGTAACGTTACCCTGGCACTCGGATCTTGAACGCCGTTTTCCGGTGCACCGATGTGGTTACAATATTTTTTTTTGCGGTTACAAAATGTTACGTAATAACTAACATAATACCAAACAGTTTTCAAGTCGAAATTTTGAGCTTGAAGTGCCAGGGTAACACACCTGTTGACCCCGTAACGTAGACGTCGATCGGTATCGGTACTGATAGCGTTATTAGTTATTACTAACAAAACACATACACACACACACATATACGAGTTTTACAGTGGCGGGTTATAACGACCAGTTTTCTAAGTGCTAACCTGCCTCTAATCGGGCGGCCGAGCACATAAATAACAATATAAAATTAAGACGACGCGTACGGATGTTATTCGGTATGAAACGAAGTTGACCGAGAGCGATGACTAGGACGAGCGGATGTAGCTCCGCTAACCTTCCTATGTAAATAGGTGGCCGAGCGATGCCTAACACTAATCTCGCAATCATCCTAAGGGTCTAGATCTGGAGGGGGCAGAATGTGTCTTCTAGGTGCGGCCGTGGCTCTTATATGTACTCGGTTGCTACCGTGCCCGATGTTTTAGTAGGCATTGTTCATAACGAGTATTATAGGACTAGCGGCCACCCGACACGCATAGTGTCCCACCAACGCACTCTGTTGCCAAATAGAGTGTGCTGTTGTTCGCTTGTTGTGTGTCGATAATAGTTATAGTCAGAATTTTTTATATTCGTTACAAGCTATGCTTAAAGAAGTTACGTACGTATAAATTTAAGAGATATTGTATTGTTGTATTTCATAATGTGTACAATAAATCTTTTATTCAAAAATTAAAAAAAAAAAAAATTATCGCCACTTAGTCGCAGCAACCGTGTGCAAGTTCTTGTTTAACTTACAGAGAAATTCTACCTTACTCCCTTAACACCGCCCTTTTCTAAAAGTGACAATAGTAAAATGATTATCTTCCGAGAAAGTTACTCAATTTATTGTAACTATATGGATATACAGTGACAAATTACGAGTGTTATTTATCAACCATCGACCAAGTCCACAACGCTATAATGCTATATTATTGAGGATTTGATAACTTCAAAACTTTATATTTTAAATAGAGATATAGATACAACAACTAACTTTTTCCAACAAATAATCCGACTAACAATTTACGCTAAATATAGCAGTTTTCATCACCACACAACACTTTTCAAATGGTATTATACGAATAAAATTCTGAGTATTTTAATACAGTCATTAGGTACTCATTAAGAAATAAGAGAGGACGTGAAACTCGCACGTGTTGTCTCCGTCTTACAAGTGCGTAACATTCCAAATACTGTTTAGTGCGGGATAGAACCACTCGGTCTGTACTCTTAGTAGAAACACCAAAAGTTAACACAATATAGAAGATAATACTTTCTGTGACGTAGCGTTTTTATTTGTTTGATATATTTAATAAGGAAAAAATTATTGATGTTTGAAAAACTTAAAAATATCAGATTTTTAAAAGTATTATAACTTTTTTCCTTTTAAATATATCACACAAATAAAAACGCTATGTCACAGAAAATATAATCTTCTATATTGTGTTAACTTTTGGTGTTTCTACTAAGAGTACAGACTGAGTGGTTCTATCCCGCGTTAAACAGTATTTGCCAGGGGCCACTGCAGGAAAAAAATTCGGGGGGGAGGGGTTTGAAAAAATTTAAAGTAGGTATATAATATCATATTATTCATACTGTATTACACTTTTACTATTTATTTTCGGCATTTATACTATATACTAATATACATTATACATATTATTACATATTATAGATTAATAATTGATTATTAAAATTTGTCAATTTAATTTAAATTATAAGATTATTGAACAATGATATAATTTCTAGAATTATCTAGATTCTTTGGGTCTTTGCGAATTTCGTCTGCATCCGAGTTGGGTTCCGAATTTAAAATTGCTACACTAGTTGGGTCTCGAATTATTTTAGGTACTACACTAGTTGGGTCCTAGATTTTTGTAGGTACTATACTAGTTGGGTCCCGGATTTTTATAGGAACTACACTAATTCGGTCCCTGATTTTTATAGTTAGTACACTAGTTGGGCCCTGAATTATTTTAGCTACAACATTAGTTATTGAATAATTTTTGGTAAGTACAACACTAAACTAACATTTTCCTTCCCATTTTAAAAGACATAGGACTGTCTATAATCTATTTAGGCTACAGATATGGTTAATAATGTTTTTTACAGTTTTTTTTTTTTGTTTTGTTTCTTTTCCATTAAAATATAAGTTATTAGAATTTTATAAAAAATAAATCATTTTTGTGTTGGTAAAAATATTAAAAATGTTAAAAACAAAGTATAAAAATACATATTATATAATATAAATATAGCCATATAGATGTAAGTGTAAAAATATTAAAAATTATACAATTCTTCATATACCTATTATACCTATTATATGGCTATATTTAAATTAAATAATATGTATTTTTATACTTGGTTTAGTTGGTTTTTAACATTTTTAATATTTAAAAAAAAAAACTGTAAAAAATATTCAGGAACTAGTGGAATATCTAAAATAATTTGGGACCCAACTAGTATAGTACCTCGTACTTAACCTATTATGTACATCATCGAATTAGCAGCCACCGATGTCGATCAGTTATTACTTATTAATAAGTTATAACATAGGTACTGTAATATTTATTATACATTTTAATGGTAATTTTACTGTATACCTACATTAATTTACAAACCACAGGAGAAGGGAAACTTTTTAATAACTAATAATTTATTTTAATTTTTTTGAAATTTTATTTTTAATACATTTGTAGGTCAAATAATTAATTTTTTTGTACCTGCTATTTCGAGGGGGGGTTACCCCCCCTGCGTTCGCCACTGTAATTTGCAATGTTACGCACTTGTAAGACGAAGACAACACGTGCGGGTATCACATTCTCTTAAGGAAATATTTAATAAATTTCAAAAATTAGAATTTGAATCAATAGGTGGTTAAAATATGATAAGGGGGTTGAGCATGCTTTGTGAGCCTTTCTGTATATTGTGTAAACGATGGTGATGTATGAGCTTCGAAATGTTACACGTGATTTCCGACGTGGTACAGGTGCGTAAAGATAGTCACAATGGAAATAGTAATAATAACAACGAACATCATTAAACTAGTACATACATATTGTTATGTGCGCAAAAGGCCTCAGCGTAAGAGAAAGACGCTACGACGATGGGGAAACGAAAAAATAATAATAATAATAACACTAACAATAACGGCAGTGGCAGCGTCATCGGCGGCGACGACGACAACAACAACAATAATAATAATAATAATAATAATAATAAAGTCGTGGTGGATATCACACGTAGGTACCTATATAATATAATATAATACACCTCAAACATCCATACATATACACACTCTCGGCTCAGGTGTGTCACAAGAGTATTTATATGTATACACAGCGTCTGACCGAGAAATGTGTTGTATTGTTGTGTACATATATATATATAAATAGTGTCGCGAGCGCCACACGGCTTGTCCGAGCGCCCCGGCACAGAATAAATGGCTTTTCGGTATACATATATATATAAGGTTTTCCCCCTAAATTTTTTTCTCTCTCTTTTTTCCACCCTCCGACGCCTCCCTTGTCCTACCGTGGCCATAGCCTCTTCCATGCGAAAACCGGCAGGGGTCGTAGCGATCCTTTCTGTGCGCGTGGGCGGGGGTGGAGGATTCAAGGGGAGGGTCGACGGCGTGGCTGG